TCCGAATCGAGGCCTTATCTACTATTCAAGAGAGCTCGGCATGTCTGGAATACCGTAGGATCATTCTCATGTACGGAGATGGCGTTGCGCCACGCGAATCCTTTGGAGGAGTGTTATTATCCCATTTTTTTTGGGGGGGGGGGGGGTGTGGGTGGGTGCGTGGGTTTCTTTCTTACAAACTCCAGTAGGAACCTGACTAACCTGGATGAATGTCAGACTACTCCCCGCTGTTGAGGAAGAAGAATGACTGACTACCTTTTTCCTGTTATTGTGTATTATTCATCTTCTGATTTCATACACTTGTACTTGTCGGATATCTCCTTGCGTTTTCACCCGCCCCTTCCGACATTTCACGCAGACCCATTCACCACCGTTTGTGTCGTCATAATCGTTGTCTGAAAGATCAACGCTACAAGTAATTACCAGTAGGGTGTCCTTTTATTTATTTTATCATTAAAAAAAAAAGAATTCTTTCAACGTGTACAGGCTACATATTAGTCATATACTCACTCGTACGACCCAACGGTGGGGTGAGATAACGGTTGACAGCTATCATCACCTCGCGTATAGAAGAGGATAAGACAAGAATGATGAAGAGGAGGAAAAAAGGAGAAAAGAAAAAGGAGAAGAGAAAGGTCACGGAAACGGACAGTAGCGATAGTCTTCTTCTTTCCTCCCCCCCCCCCTCTAGATCATTGTTCAGCTGATCGAGTACGGATGATGTTGGCAACGTTTATTCTAGTAGGTAGTGATATAGACCTCGGATTCTTTATTAGTATCGATTCGGGAAGCTCGAAGTCGGCTTTACCACCACGGATAGACCCGCCGGATGTCGAGGCACTTTGTGACTTGTTGGACCTTCTTTTTTACCTTCTCTCTCCCTCTCTCTCTCCGGCGTACTCGTACTCGTTACCGTACATTGGGGTTGACAGTCATGCGCCATATATATATATAACATTGTATATTATATATCAGTATTACCATTAAACCCCCCTCCCCCCCCTTCCACACTTGTTTCCAAGTAATAGTGATATGCCAATTGATCAACTTATGGCAACTCTGCCACTGCAAGTAACTAGCAAGAGTAACCATCGGACAAGTAAAAAAAAGCAACGTGTGGGCAGTCTCGGCCATATCCACCCCGCCATCGCCAGCCAGTTTTTTGGCCATTTGGGCAGCAAGTAATGACTTCCTCCGGACCGAGGAGAAAGTGGGCTGCAAGTTCCCCCCCTCCTCTCATACCCATCTAGATTCTATTATCGGGCGTACTTATTACATTGTAGACGTGTTTTTGCCACCTGCCATTTTATTTTTTTTTGCTTTTTTTCCCCCGTCTCTGGCATCTTTCATATATACAGTCATGACAACTCTCTCTCTCTCTCTCTTTTTTTTTTTTTTCTTTTTCTCCCCCCCTTTTTCTCTTTTTTCCCTTTTTTCTTTTTACATCTTCCTTTAGTTTCTACCTTTGACATATCTCAAAAGAAAAGTTTGGGATATCGAAGCCTATACTCTCCCGGTTGAGGAGAATGACGACGACTAACCCGTACGCGGGCAGTTTGTGGCGGTCCGATTGTTACATACTCTGCATACTTTAGTACTACTGATATATGTATCAAGGCGGAGTAGGTGGCGTTTCTCTTTCTCGGTCTAGTCGTCGGCGTGACTTGATATCGTGCCTCTTATTAGAGACTCGTACTACCTGCTAGTATCTGACGATTTCGAGTCCTCTTCTTTTTCCCTCTCCCACGCTCACTTGTCTGACAAGGTGTAGGGTAGGATATCTATATCTGACCTTTCGGGTGGTGTTCCTGCTGCGCTGTGGTGAACCTTTTGCACGCCCATCGCATTCATCACATGAGACATCCGCGTGACATTTAGCTGATGGAATCATTCCGGTATAGACAATGCTATTCTTTCAGAAGTAAAATAAGCAAGGCACTCAGACGTGAAGCCGCAGACGCAGAAAGACCGAAAGACAATCTCAAGCCTGCGGCAACGCATATCCTCCCCCCCTTCCCCATTTCCTTCCACCTTGGTATAGAGTTGTTGCCCTATCCACTACAGGGCTTGTTCTCATTTCTTCTTTGTTCCTCATTCTTGACATTCATCCTAAATTCTTTCGCATTCTTCTTGACGTCTAGGGACGTCTAGGTCGGGTATTGATATCGGGGGGTGACTCTTGGAGAGAGAGAGAGAGAGAGAGAGAGAGAGAGAGCTGTCGTTTTTTTATTGCGTCTTGAAGAGGAGGATGGCGCAGTGGCCGAGGTAAAAGTAGATGAAGTGTTTCGTTTCTGCACACATGATGTAGATCGAAACAACATCAGCAACGGAAACAAGCAGCACTTTCATGCCATGCCACATCGGCAGGCTGTTAGCCGCCACGTGGGAAGAGAAAAACCTTACCGTGTGTTACGAAGCTGCCGAAATTGCGGCCGACTATGCAGTGCCAGGTCGGGCCCTTACGCTCGTCAAACTTTCCCCCCGGAGAAGCCGTTAGTATGGGTTGCGAGATTCTGCGTCATTCGCTGGGAGAACTGACTGTGCGCTTGATGTGTTGGGCGATGTCTTTCTCAATGGTGTACTTGGCCATGGCCTCCTGGGCTGATTTCGTCGTCATTCTATCAGTAACTGTATAGGTAACACACCATATGCACAAGGACAAGAAAATAAAACCTACCGACTTCAATGGTCTCCTGTTGCATGTCGTCGGTCTAAGGATGGAAAGGGGGGGGGGGGGGTTTCATATAAATGTCAGTACGCGGGTACCTTTCGAGGGACGCTCTGTCCGTCCGCATTTCCTTTCTTCCTCGACATACCATGTCTGCAGACTTGATCTGAGCTGCAACACGCCGAATAGATTCCCGGTCAGTAACATACTTGCATAACGTCGACATGTCATGTGTCTGCTTTGCTCACCCTCAAGCTTCTCCCGCGGAGCAGGGCTCTCGTTCTTGACGTCGGCCATGGCTGGGGAAAAATGTCGGGGTCTTTCTTATATATGTAAGGGGTTGAAGATGTTCGAAGAGATATAGCAGAAGACGAGTTTGTCGTCGTGTGGATACCCCTATCGGTCTAGGACGCGCGCGCAAACCGTCGATATGTTAGCCTGAGCAGAAGAAGGGGAAAAAAGGGGAGGGGTCATGCGAAGCTCTCTCTCCCCCTCCGCCCCCGGCCCCCGCAGCTAGTGGATATGTGGGAGGAACGGAGAGAAGAGGAGGGCGGTGATGCTTCGTGTATTTCGACGTACCGGATAGCCAAATTTGGGATTGGGTTGGATCGCTGACGAATAAAGGAGACCGTTCTGATGGGCGTGTGTCGATGTTGGTCGTCGCGTATTCTTAGGAGAAGCACGCGTGGGTTGGAGAGTGTGAGAAGGCTTGGACACGAGAAGATGCAGGGGACTGAAAGGTGCACGGGCCACCTTGAGCCTTACGTATGTTTGTATGGCAGGGAACACAGGGGGGGGGGGGCCACTTACTACTGTACGTCAACAAATAAGAAGAATCTAAACATTCTAACTAGAGCTATCAATATAACAGCATCTTCGACCGACAACGAACACATCAATCTGATTACATCGTGCCGTACTCTATCATCAATCAAAAAAACGGCACAATTCGCATTATACTTATCTCGACCTCTCCCTTCTCTCTCCTCCATCCCCCGCTCGTCATCCTTCCATACATTCTCTTGCATCCTCAGAAGGTGCCTTCCCCCAGAACCGCCGAGCGGGGAACCGTGCAAGAGCTGATACTCCGTAGAGATGGTCAAATACGCCCACGAGGTTCGGCCGATGGAGAAGCGAGGCAGTCGACATGGTAGGCACACGGTGTGAATTACGGCTACATTGCGTACCATCGCATCCATCCGTTGTTGCAGATCCCATCCATCCTCTGTCCGTCGTTCAAGATGCTGCACGCAGAGTCAGTCATCCACGAGTACGAGAGTAGATATATGTCTACATACCAGAGCGCTCCATCAATACGTCGTATGATATGTTGCTCTTCCTCATCCTAGTTCCACGGAAAGAAAGATTGTCGATGGAAAAAGATGTGGAACGGTGGCAACCTTCTTCCAGTCATGCGTTCTTCCAACGAGGAAGAGAGCACGTGTCGGGAGAAGGGGGAGGGGAACAGGTCCTCCCCCACCTTGACGATCCATCCATGCACGTCTAGGGATTCGACATGGGCGATAGAGTAGGTAGGTCTAATTCCTCTCCGACTTCAAGACATCTCCATCAAGCACTTCTCGTACCTACGTAGTCCGGCAAACGGCCTGAAGCTCCCCCGCACGGTCGCATATCGAGTTTCCTTGTTGGTGACGGGGTGGGGAGGGAGGGATCCTTCAATGAACTAAGCATCCCTGCCGGCAATAACTATGAGAGCCCTCTTCAATATTTCGGCCGAGGTCAATGGACGACTTCCTTGTGCAAGAAATCGGAGGGGAACAAAGAACACACACACACACACACACACACACACACACACGCCATCCACCTTCTGTATGATCCACACCACTTAGCCGTCCGCGTGATCGACATCCCGCTTGCCTTGGTTACTCCTCCGACCGCAAATCCAATGTAACCTCCCGAGCCTGGTTCCTTACTCATACGTACCCGGATAACTTTGAATAGACATGGCGTTGGGCTTGGCCCGTCGGACTGACGTCGCAATTCCCCATTTACCCGCCAATGACGATCCAACGACCCGGGGGGGGTTGTGGAAGGACTCGAAGAGGTCATGAGGGGACACTGAGCATGATGTCTACCAAGGCTTGCGTCGTTGGCAGCTGAGGCTTGCCGGTACGGGTATATATATGAGTGCTGGAAGAGTCAATGGTGTGAGACATGTGTGTGTATAGCCATCGCATTAGCTCCTGGATCTGCTGACATTGGAAACTTGCACCGGAATCAGGACTTGGATCTGAACTCTTACGGCACTGCCCGAGCTGACTCTTCTTTATCCACCTGACCGGTTCCTTTCGTGCTATCCACACAAACGATGAAGCTCCCCCTGCTGGCCTCCTCGGCCCTGTGGGCTCTGACGGCCAATGCAGCCGACGACGACATCCTGAAGCACGTTGACCCTCTTGTCGGGAGCGTTAATGGAGGTGAGCATCGACTTCTTCCAACCCGGAAACTCATCTCTGTAATTAGCTTATTATGACGACTGACTTGCCGGGATAGGCCATGTTTTCCCTGGTGCCACTCTGCCCTACGGTATGGCCAAGGCAGTTGCCGACGTTGATGAAGAGAACCAAGGTGGTTTCGCTTCAAACAATGGATCCAGTAAGCGGCGTCAACCACGTGCACCTTCTTTCTTGTCTTCTTTTTTAATTTTCTTCTTCTTTTCGCTGATTAATCCCCCCCCCCCCC